TGTGTTTCGATAATATAAAACAGTGTTATTACAAAATAAACGCCGAAATCCAATGTACGAACACTCATTGGCATAAAGTGGTGTCTTGATCAGCCGATATCGCGAAACGTATCTGGACCCATACGAGTTTGATAGCACTGCGAAATCGCTTTCATTAACTCGATCAAGATCTTTTAGTGATAATTCGATTGGAAATCGTTGATCACCAATGGGACTTTGCATTCAGTGTCAAAATCGTGAGCCCAAATAAGCTATCAGCGAGTGAACAAGAATTTTGAAATGAAGATCAACTCACCTCGATTCCATTGTTATGTTATGTTTGCAAGACGTGTAATTAGCGAAACTGAGTGCCGTATCATGCCACAGTTGCGAGAATAGAATATCAATTTCAAAATCAGAAGTGATTTCGTTCAACGACGAAACATCCTGAAGAATAGCCTAACCTTTTAGTGAATTAGCTTTCGTTGATGTTCTGTTGTTTAGTGGTGGTTCATATTCTATGCTATTTTTTTCAAAACATTTGTTGATAATTTTTCCGATAGTGAGTATAATTGAGCACCGTCTTTGAGATTAGACAATATTAATTCGAGCAGAATGTTTCGATTCAACATAAATATGTCAAATTCTGAATGAGTTTGAAATTAATCGACGATAAATGCATTTGTTTGATTTGTGACATTAAAATCTAGCATGTGCTCGCTCCACTTGCCTGTACGTGTATTTCGACGTTGACTTGAACGGCGTCCTCAGAGTCGGGCAACATTTTTGTATAATTACTCATAATCGCATTCACAATCGCACCCTCTTTCCACGCTCCCTTTGGGCATTTCCTTCGCTTTGCATCACTCTGAAATTTTTTTCAGAACGATGTCTCCATTTTTTAGGCTCTACGCTATTAAGATTTCTGCATTCATGAATGCGTTCTGTTATGTTGTATGGTTTGATTGGACGAATATTCTCATTGACAGATGGCTGATTAAGAGAAATCCGAAATGGTCATAGGATATACTAATCTTCTGTGATGTAATTTCCGATTTATCAATGCATTCGCATGCACTGATTAGGATATCCATTAGCATTATTAAGTAAAAAGTCGAATCAAATACGAATTAGGTTGAGCATCTTCAGGTTTCCTGCTATTAGACAGGTTTCTAACTCATTAATACTTATCACTTAATTATCTTTGAGAAGACATGAGGAGAACGAGAAGCACTCAAGTGTTTCTGAAAAAACGAATCTGCGAAAGCAAATGGATCGTAAGGCTTTGCTGATGAATGTGTGAATGAGATTTATTCGTGTCATATTGAAGAAGATTTATTCGTGGGGCATTTTTTGAAGTGATCACTGGTTCTTAGAATTGCTTCAATAAAATATCAGATATTCTGAAACGAGCGACTATCACGAAATTCTCATGATGAGAGATGACTTGATGGAGAATCGTAATTTTGTTTCGTTATTTTATTTGTTATTGGCCACTAGAAATGGGGCTGTTATCGAATCACTGCATGCTGATCAGAATTCGGAACCTGCAAGTTTGCGAACGTTGCGAGCGCATTCTATTAACTCCTTTGCGACATAGCTGCCGCATTTTTCTTAAGACGAATATCAGATGAAAATGAGCTTGAGCCAGCAGGGTATTTACGATTGCGCATAGCACCAACCATCATTAAAGACAGCGAGAGAGTGAAAACACGAACATCTACTCACTTTGCCCGTAAAGATGATCGCCGATAAAAGGAGAATGCACATTCGGAAGCGCATCTGCAGAGCGTTCGATGGTTTTACACCGGCAGTTTGATTCGTCGGCAGATCCCAGTAGCCATAAGTAAGCACTCTCTGAAAGAACTTTGGAGAATTTTTCAAATTTACCCAGCGCAACAATACTTGCATGTGTTATCGATATGAACGCGATACGTTTCCAAGCATCAACAGCTTCAGAACACAAATATTGCATCTCGTTCCGATCACATCGTATTATTCAGCGGTGCATGATTTGAAAGATGTGATACCGCAAATTTGCATAGGATTATGATTATGCATCGTTTATGAGACAAGACGACATCATCAGCTGATATATGGAATTTGAGAGTGAGCCATGAAACTCGTCGGCACTCTTGTGAGCGCTTGAAATTGTCATATTTCTTGATAATTTTTGCGCAAAGAACAACCTGAACGACAACTTTAAAAAGCGCACAAAATTCAGGTAAACACATCTTTTCATTCTGATTCAATCACGATGATTCCACCTCAAACAGTAATACATCCTGAAATCCATCACAGAAATTTCCTCTCTTAACAACGATGATACGCTTCTCACATGAGTCGTAAGATGATCATTCCTGAAGAATTCATCGGCTTGAAGATATCATCTAAAGCCTATCAACAACCATAACGACCGCCCTTTCAAAAGTTGAATTCTGCAACAGCTTGGGCGGAGTTTTTGAGCAACTTCGAATCTGTCATATAGACCGATTCTGCCTTATTGAGCAAAACTTGCGCGATGGATGGAACGTTAACACATTCCTAAGCATTTCATAGTAATGCTATTATTCGCTGAAAGAAATGTAAGCTTGCAATTATGAATAAAATATCCTAGAATGAAGCATTGGAACAGTAGAGAAAGTACGCGTCTTAAATGACGACTACATTCACCATGGGAATGGAAAAATCTCCGGAAACCTCAGCGAGTTTTGCAGACTTACAGTATCTGCCCAAATCTATGCATGGAAGGACTGCAAACTATGGAAAACCATAAGCAGTCACTCATCGTCAATTTCCTTTCTCTTCAATCTTGTTCAAAGTAGCTGAATTCTTTTAAGCACAGGAAATTTAAAATTTCAGAACAAGTAAAATGAATCATAACAAATGTTCCCTTGTTAAGCGAAAAGCGTGCAAGTACATTCACACTTTTATTTGATTATTCCATGAAACTAATAGCACTGAAAAGATGAGCATGTGGTGATGACAATGAACAGTGCGGAATACGGCTCCATGCACTATTCTCGACATTTCATCCGTTCGCTCTCATGAAAAATATTAATAATCATCAACCATATTACAGAGCGTCGTTTCGAGAGGGGGTATAGCTCAGTGGCAGAGCATTCGACTGCAGATCGAGAGGTCCCCGGTTCAAATCCGGGTGCCCCCTTCTTTTCGCACCTGTGAGCGTGTCATTGGATTCTTGAATCAGTGCTGAAGAGTGAGTGCTGCTGAACTGGTTTTTTTTCTCCAAAAACATTGCACCTAGGGCAGAGCAAATGGCACAATCGTCAGTTCAACTTTACATCATTAAGGCGAATTGTTCTCAGCGCAAAGAAGCAATAGAGTTGATAATGAATGTATGTGTTAATTGACGCATTCAGTGCATTTTCATTAGGAAATTTCACCTCTACAAGCCAGAGCGGCATGAGCAACAATATTATGACAGCACAAAATTTATGGTTATTAAACTTATAATGCTCTATCAAACCAAGCCCCAGTAATCAACAAAATAAAATCAAGAAATAAGATCAAGTCTTAATCGCAACTGTAATCTGATAACTTTAGGTCAAAACAGTCGGCAAATTAGGAATTCCGGTTCAACCAAACGTACTAATAGTTGAGTGCTTCTTGTGGAACCGATGTTACCAAGGCTGACTGAATAGCAATTCAACATCTCGACTAAGTGTAACTTTACGTACTAAAAGTAAAGCTAAGATAATCAAAATCTCCTCATATTTCCATAAAGATTTCTTTTTTAAACACTTGAAATATGCCAGTAGTTCATTGAAACAAATTTTGTGTTTCTATTTGTTCCGAACAGCATTTCGTGACATTCCCGAGGAGTATCAAGATTTGAAATGTAGCGGAACGGGAAACGTGTCAAATGAACTTGGCGCTGACTGCCACTAATTTCACAGTTGGCTTTTATAATTTCTTCATCTCATGTGGAAATTATAATGAATGACTATGAAAAACTCGTCGACTAAAAGGTTGGCATGACTGTGAACTAATCAACCTTCGGAAGGATATATCCCCACTTTGTATAGGACACTGCAAAGTGCATTTAGATAGGATAATGGTTCGCGTGATATCCCTGAACGCGTTAAAAATTGATCATGATCAATTCGAATCGAATTTGCGCAATCCAATATTTTTGAAGCAATGTGCATTACCGACCAGCGAATGATCATCTGTGCAAAGCGTCCAGTGAGGCTCTCTTTGAAAACATTTCTGATACGCAACAATATGACGAAGGTAATTATCATCGAGAAGTATGTGAATAAAATGCTGCAAGAAGCCTTTCAGCGCTTCTGATTAGACTTTGAAGAATTTTTTTTATTAATTTACTTATAGTGAATGTCGAAGATTTTTTGCGAGTACATTCGTAAACACAATTCATGTTGCTTTGAGGACGGCTTCGCATCGCCTCGTCAGTGACAACAAGACTATTGCAAATCATTGCACATTCGATGTATCACATTTTATTTCGATCATGCTCTAATTGTAAGTAAGAACGAACGCAATTCGCACTATTGAATTACTGCAAGAGAAAGGCTGCTGCTGCTGCATTTCATTGGTGAAACTGAGATTGACTCTCATTGACGGAAAAACGCTTGTCAAATAGAAATGGTTCACTTTCCGTGATAGAATGCTCTTGAATGTGTGAGTTGTGCATAGAACACGCAAAATTGGACTCTTTAAGTTATCAGCTGCTCCACCTGCTTCAAGTGCATTCATTGAGCATGAAATGAAAGAAAAATGAAGTCATAACGCTAAACTGAGGAAGTTTCTTTCAGAGAAAAAGAAAAAAAACTTTGCACTGAATAAAACATCAAAACATCCATTGTTTAAGAGCAGACAACCATTAAAAAATTGTTTTGTGTCGGTCAATGGAGCATCCCTAACGAAAGTGTTTACGAGAATAGTCTAACGCTCAAGAGGTGAGCGCATGAAGTTTTCCAGGAATCGATCTATTCACTCAGTGCTGTCTGAAAATTTATTAAGATAGGCATGAATTGTTCGCAACAATCAATAAGTTTACCAATTGAGCTAGTTCCTTTGCGGCAGGTCTCAGTTTTTTGTAGTCAAGGAAACGTATAGGAAATTTTCGAGTGCTACCTTTAGAATGACTTCAGCTGAAGCCAGAATTCGAAATTCGGATTATCGTATTATGAAATCTTGTTGTGATTATAGACCATAACGTATTTTGCAAAGGATAATGCACCAAAGCAAAGGATAATGCGCCAAATCAACAACGTGACTAACTTAGAAAGTAACTCGGTTTTTTTTAAACACATCCAAAGCAAAATGCAGTAATTCAGTACGAATTTGATCGCAAAACAGTGATGATACAGTGATAACGATGACGACAATTATTTTGTTGGNCCAAATCAACAACGTGACTAACTTAGAAAGTAACTCGGTTTTTTTAAACACATCCAAAACAGAATGCAGTAATTCAGTACGAATTTGATCGCAAAACAGTGATGATACAGTGATAACGATGGCGACAATTATTTTGTTGGTGAGTTTGATAAAATTCGAATAATTTTAAAAACTTCACAACCAATGTGGGAATTGTTGAGAATATTTCGTTTCATTCGCATCAGAGTATCACAGATGCACTGGAGCATTGTTTGTATCAGGTACGTGATAGGATATTCCTAGGTAAACACATCAACGCGTAAATGCATTCGTATAATGTTTAAGCTGTGAAACATTTGATAGTTGCTGTTGCGAAGGAACACGACGAAGACGAGTTGATAGAATGAAGAGAGTGTTGCAAGCGGAATCTTGACTCGATTTAGTTGAGCACTGAGCATTTAGGCCCAGAGAATGTGATGTGCTTTGAGATAAAGGCGCTCACAACTTCAGTTCTAAATTTCATTACGAACATTTTCGGTCTCAGTTCATAAGAATGTCGTCCAACAAGCTCTGATAAACGATCGATACAGTATCATAACCGACTGAACTGCAACGTGACGGCTCAAGTTGCAATTAACGGCAAAGCAAATGGATTGAGCAGAAGTGATAATTTAGAACAAGTATATGTAATTGCTCGTCACTACCTTCAAATATAATCTGTC